CTAATTATTGTAATATAGACACATAGGTAGTGGGTTTATAAACATTTTTATTTATTATATATTAAATAAATTTAATACTATATATTTAATACAAAAAAAGTATTTAAAATACCATTCAAAATACTTCATGCTGAAAGTATTTAAAAAGTTATTCAATACTTAAAAAAGTATTTGAATACTTTTACTCAAATACTTTACAGGACTGACAATTATACATATAAATTTCATTATGTCTCGTGCGCACGCCAATGGTAAAAGGTAATTGTAAATACTTCCTTAAAAAAAACTAAGATATCTTACTTTCTGGAGGTGAAATGGTCTGTTTTGATACTGATGACATTGCATCTTGCATTAGATCATAATATTGCCATTTTACGCCTCCATTTCCACTGCGTTTACTAGCATCGTGTACCTGTCGGAAGCGTGTGAGCAGTCGTCTCCACTTTTCATCACAATGCTTCGCAGTATAATTGTAATTTTTATTTGTCATTTGGTTGGCAATTTTTTGCCAGAGTGCAGTTTTTTGGCCCTTTTTTTTAATTTTTTCAAATTCGGCACTCATTGGACCTCTTATTGCAATAAGCATTTTTGTAGCTGCCACTGGCCATACATCTATAAAAAATAAAAATAAAAATTTCATATCGTCAATTCTCAAATCAATGAAATACATACTCGGATTGTCTGCTTGATTATTATTTGCCTGTACTTCACCATTCAGTTCCTCATCATATTCTTCAACTACCATATCTTGGAATTCATCTAAACAAAAGTAAAACGAGACAGAAGTGTTTAAAAAAATACTTCATTATGTAAATTACATTTACCTCCATACTCAGCATCATGTCCCATAACAATTATCTCATTTTCCGAGTCCATGTTAATATTTTTTATACTACTAATACTACTAGGTCTCTTTTATGAGCAGGTAGTTATATTATTATACTTAGTAGTATATTATTAATATATAAATCACGTTTAATAGTTAAAATTTATTGTACAGAATATGCATATTGCATATTTTTATTTTTTAATTTGGTTTAGTGTAAAAATTGATAGTGAATGATGTGATAACAGATAACAAGGGGAAATTCAGGTTTAGGGTGGGGACGGATCGTGATCGGTATTTTTCGACCACCTCGCTACAGTGGTCGAAAAAAAGTAAACCGATGTGTCTCGATTCTTAACCGGTTTAGTCCAGCGAATTTCTTAATACTGCACCGGTTTACTTTTTAAGGGGAAATCTACACCGGTTTAGTCTGGCGAATTTCTTGAGTGTGTCTGTGTGTTCGAACAAATATAATATTCTTGCATATGTATGCATTTGCTTAACTCTATGTCATCTATGTATATTGAGTACACATTATCCTCAGATATGGCTAAGTATTCGTTCGTTGGTTGAATCAACGCATATACTGACTTTTTCTGTTTTATAGGCAATGGTATTGACTTGTAGGTATAGGCGGTACTCTCTTGTGTCGACTATCGGAATGGCTATTATGAATATCAGTGTATCTGCTACTCTTATTACTAGTAAGTTACTCATTTTCATTAACTTATGTACATTCTGTATTGTGACTTGTTCAGCGAAGTTCTCTCTCGAATCTAATTGTATTCTTACTTGTTGCAACTCTGTTAAAAAATCTGTCGCTGAAATAATGCTAAAATGCATATGACCTACTTGTGCTGTATTTACTATTGCTACTAGATTGTGAGTTTGGAATGAATGTTGTGTTAACAAAACATTTATTTCCTCAGTTTGTTCATCCATTATTTGTCTAACTTCCATTTCATTAATCATTTTGCCTACTTGGTTTGCTTTACTTTCCAACTTGTTTATATTATTTATTATCGCTGTTTCAGTTTGCTGTATCTTCATCATTTCTCTGTCTACATCATGTACTGTGGATTGTACTATCCGCGTTTGCTGTTGCATATCGTGAATGACCCTAATTTGTTTTTCGCTTATTTCGCTTATTTTCTTATCAAAAAATTCATAATCTTCGTCCGAACATATTCCAAATAACGTTTTTGCTAATCTACCAATTCCGTTTATTAATCCTCTTCTATAGCGTTCGTTTCTACTGACTGCATAGTTTATTTGTTGTCGCGTTTTGTCTATGTCATGGATATATGATGTTGTTGTTGTATTAAATTGCTCGCATAAATACGACCAAATTACAAAGTGCTCCATTGGAACTATTTCTGTGTTTTTTGCAATTTTTAAACAATGTTTTAGTGTTTCCTTTTGAAATTTCTTAATTTGTTCAAAATTACCATCATACGTGGTTAAATTCACAAAGACTGATAATTTCCATTTTGAATTTGTTGTTTTTATTTTTGTCAAATAATTAAAAAAAATTCCTGATGGTGATTCAATTTCCTTTATCTGATAATTTTCTGTTAAATTTGTTGCCATAATAGGTTGTACGATTAATATCCTGTAATAATAAGATATCACTGCTTTACTAATTATTTTTATTTTATTGATTACATAGTTTTAATAGATTTCTATGTACTTTAACTAATTTTTTTCCTCTCATGATTGTTACATTTTCATTATTATTTATTTCTGTTATTACATACGGTCCTAAC